TTTTTTTTTTTTTTTTTTTTTTTTTTTTTTTTTTTTTGCTGTGTCACAGTTTCTGTTCACATGCCAGTTGAGCACACCCTTTTTTGGTGTGTTTATTCATATGGCTTTATATACCCAACATAAAACAGTGCTACAAAATGAATTATTATACATTATACATAACAACAAAGACTCATCTGAATTAAATGAAGTGGTTCAGTTTCTCATATTATAAGTAAATTCAGCACATCAGCAAAACAACATTCAACAAAGTATGAATGAAAGTGAGTGGTATTATGCAAAATTGACATTTTTGAGCTTTATATCAAGTTTCAATGTCATTACACTCATCAAAAACATACCAGTGTTGCTTTGACTCATTCATGCATGTTTGAGAAATCATTGAATTTTCTGTAGTATGCATGTAGAGCTGCCTGAACACTTGCTGATACAAAGCACCGCCTATTTACACAAAGCTCCTCCCTGGAGCTCAGTCTGCAGCCGAGCTGCCCCACAGAGCACCCCTCCCTTATGACATGCTGAGGTGTGAGTGTCAGAAATGGTAGGACGTTCACAGGACAATTTCGAGGCTTTTAGATAGATATAATTTGTTTTTGATATATACAGTGTTTTCAACTGATACTAATATAGTTTTTTGATTGTGGTATAGAATTGAACTATGTGCCTGAAAAATACATAATGCCCTCTTTAAGATGGGCAAACAAAAAGAAAAAGCAGCACCCGGGTGACTTTTTTTTGTGAAAACTGGCATTCAAAAAGAAAAACAGCTCCCCAAAAATTTCTACCAATCAAGAGCAAGATCATTCGTAACCAACCCATCACCAATAAACGTAAAGTGAACAATGAAGTGTTTTAGATCATGAATTTGTTTGGTGAACAAATTTTTAAGTCCACGTTTCAGAAATCTTCCTTCACTACATGAGGTTTCAGTCAAATTGAAAGTGATGTTTCAGAATTTTTATTTTTTTATTTTTATTTTTAATTTTTTTTAGTGTGGTTCTGCGGAAAGGCATCTTACCTGCTGTAGATAGCTCTTTGATCAACCCACTTTGGAGAAATAGTTTATTTCTAACCACATTTACAAACTAATGGCTAGTCTGAGTGAGGCCAAAACCAAAGTGGATTGCCATTTATCCGTCCAACATGCATCCATCCATTTAAAAGTTATGATAAAATTGCAGAATTCTTTGACTCTCAAATAACCAAATAGCTTCAATTTTTAGCTTAGTCATTGCTTTGATAACATTAAATACCCCCTCTTCACAGAGTTTTCTCTTTTACCATCAGGATGCAGATTTGCTTTAAAAAGATGTAGAACCAGCAGATACAGTATAAGAATCCCTTTTTACCTGCTGTTATTGTCATTTTAGACACTTCTTGTTGATTGTTGTGTTTTTGTAGTTTTATGATGTTTCTATGGTTTTTTACTGTATTTGTRATTGATTGTTTTTGTTTCCTGCTGGCTGTGACACAAATTGCCCCATGGAGATATTAAAGATAACTTGAACTTGATAAAATTTGACATAGTCACAATGTGTTCATGAACAACAGTAGCATCTGCTATCTGTGTGCTGGTCTGTTTAAAACGTTCATTTGCTGCATTTGTTAATAATTTTTCAATATCCGTGAATCAATCAACAATGACAACGACAATCATTAATCCAAATGTCCATTTTTTTATTTTGAGGAGTTTTATCTGATGTGAACAGATTGAAATTTCCCAACATATTTTGCTTTCTAACATCATCAGCGAGYTAACTCCGGGTTCTTTCTACGTTCCCTCATGTTGGGCTGTGATCAAGGGTGGGCCAACCTTCCATGCAACATGAATCCTGCCCCGCTTTCATTAGGCACCTCTTTATGACACTGCAGCAGATGGTGAACACACTTACATCCTCCGACACACACGCACTCCGGTTCCCACGAGATGCAATCTCACCTCCTCTCTCAACTTTTTTTTTTCGAATTTTCACCCCCRTTTTCCTTCTTCTTCCTCCTCACACTATGAAAACGAAACAAGCTGCAGTTGTTTAGAATTTACACTAAATAAAGGAGACCTTGAATTGGCTAAATTTCCATCCGAATTTCTGCGTGAGCATTTTATCTGGTGTTGTGTTGCCTATAGCAGGGTTTTCTGTTGTGTGGGTTGCTTCGGTGGGAATTATCTACATTTAAAATATTTCTTAAGTAACTGCTCAGCTCACGTCTAAAGTATCTGCTGAGAGCTGCTGCCACGCAGGTCAAGAAAAAAACACAACCCACGCAGGAAGCTATATATGTTTGTATAGCAGGGAGCCATTTACATATACATTTACACGATCTCAGAAACACTTTCACGGCTCTTTTACTGGACTAAATTTGCAGTATTTAATGAAYAAAAACAGCTTTTTTACAGCATATRCATCCAATTTACACAGTTTCACTGTGGTTAATGGTTCAWTTATAAATTTATGGATTGCATCCTCTCGTTTCTAAACAGAGAGTGAAAAATAATCTCRCTCCAGTTTTCTGGCTCTGGACCGTGTGGGAGTAATGCATCTTTGTGTCTGTCGGTGATAAACATCGAGGTTTAAGGTCAACAGATGCAGGACGCGCCGTGTCCGGAGGCAGAAGGATTACGCCCACCCTGATCTACAGCAAAAGCACACACACACACACACGCACACACACCAATATACACACACAAAACAGTGTAGGGACCTTAGACAATAACACATGTCTGCAGTGATTCATGTAGCTGCTAACGCTTACAGTATGTGTGTAAAGAAAACACACACACACACAAGTGTCACCATCACACGTGTCATGTGGCAGCAGCAGGGAAAACAAAGAGCAGGCTGGAATGGGGAGCAGACAGGGGAAARTACCATCACCTATTATAGACACATCCAATGGCACACACACTAACAGTTCAAATAGGGGACAGTTGGMCTTGTGAGTGCACAATAACCTGTCAATGAACTTGATTTGCTCAATGCAAAAATATTCCTGAAGCTGCCAACAAACATGCAGCCTGTCCACATGACTAAAGCTCAAACACACACACACACACTCACACCATGACAGCTGCAGCTTATCGTTTCCCCCAGCAGAGTCCCAYTTTTGAATATCCATTCTTACCTTTGTGGTAGCTCACTTGCTTGGACTGCATGGAAAAGGTGCCCATCACGAGACCCATGTTGACTTCTGTTCCTCCTGGGGGTGTGAGTGTGTCGGCGAGCCTATAATTAAGTTGTGCCTGTGAGGGTGCACACAGTAGGTGTGTGTCTTATTAAGTTAGTCCATCAGCTGGCCGTATGTGTGGAAGTAAAGATACCACTTCTCATGCCGCCTCACACCCACACAGCTCGTCTGATTCTGCTCGAGGGTGTGCGTATGTGTGTGTGTGAATGAAAAAGAGAAAGTGTGTGTGTGTGTGTGTGTGTGTGTATGAATGAAACGAACGGCAGACATGCACTCTGATACTACCTTTGTCTGCGCTGTCACTGACGCTGCCTTTTTCACGTGCCTTTACACTCTCCCTCTCAGTGTCATTTCATCAATTCCTCTGCACATCTTTATGTTTTTGCTCCCTCTTCCTCTCCTGCTCATCTCTCTCTCTCTCTCTCTCTCTCTCGGTCTCTCTCTCGTGGGGAACGAGGGGTTGCACACTGTTGCACAGG